GCCGCATCCCTCGCGCGCGCTGGAGCCGTGGCTCCGGCCGCGGGCGCGCGCGAGGAAGCCGGCGCGGCCCGGAGCGCGGATGGCAGCCCGGCCGGTCGTGTGCACGGCACAGCCTCGACGCGCGTCGCACTTCCGGCTCCGCGCGATTCGCAGTCGATCCCCTCGCGGCTTGCGGTCCTCGCTCCGCGAGTCGCCCGGGGGCCTCGGCCCGCGGCTGGCCGGCCCGCGGCGGGTTTGCCCGGCCTGGCGGGACGGGGTGAGCAGCGGTTGTTCGCCTTGGCCCGCGCCTCTGTCCTTCCTCCCGAGGCCGCGACCCCCTGCAGCCCTGCCCGGGGGGCGAGATCGCGCCCCCGAATCCAGCGCCTCGTCCCGGCTGCGGCCTTCGGCTCGCCAGTGCCCGGGCAGGGGGCCGCGAAGCTTCGCCAAGCCGTTGTGGGGCGCAAGGGGGCCGTTTCCACATGGGGAACCGCGGGGCCAGCCGCGCGCGATCCCGTGGGGAGCGCCGTCCTTGGGCGAGTCACCCGCGCGGAAGCGGAGCGTTGCGTCTCATGGCAGCGCAGTCACTGCCGCGGAGCGTGGCTGCTCAAGACTTTCCCGGACGACGGAATGAGTGTTAGTGGTAGTTGCGTGCACTGGAACGGGAAACCCGCGTGGAGCGACTGAAAAGCTGCGAAATGCAGCGGTGGGAGCCTTCAGCTGCTGGAAAAATGCGTGGATCTCGGTGGCTGGGCCTCTTCCCATTCCCATGGGCTTTGTAGTCCTGTATCAGTGCAGGACGTCGATTGGCATCCTTGTTTTTTTTTTTTAAAAACCTGTCCAGGATTTTGCGTACTCATAAAAACAGCGAGTCAGAAGGGGCCTCCAAGGCCGTCTAGTCTGACCCCCCCCCCAGCTCCAGCCAGCTCCGCTCATGACATGCCTACCATGCTAAAGTTGTTTAAAGCCACTTTAATTTTTTTAAATGTATGTTCTATTATAAGCCTCTACAACACAAGATGATAAAAAGAAAGAAAATGATAGGTAAATAAATCGGCATATATTTGAATGTATCATGTATACATGTATACATTCAACAAAGGCAATGCAAACCAGAATTTGAGTGGCTTGTATATGCCCTTCTTAAAATGTCAACAGTGTTGTTAGGTCTTGAAGTCATTATCGGAGGTGAGCAGTTAAGCTTCCAGTGTTCTAATAATAGTCCTTTAGTTGTGAAAAGGACATGGATAATCTGTGTTGAGATGTGCTAACTTCTGCTTAATGTTTGCTCGCTGAATGTACTTGATGCCTGCACTCTGAAACGACAATCCGCCACGCATCTGCCAGCCCTCTCCCCCTGCGCCTGCCCCGGGTGCCTCTTTCAGACAACCATGCTCAGGGCCACAGTCCTGGACCTTATCCAGATGTGCCCAGTTTGCCCTGCACATGGGAAAGCATTTTCACCTGTTGGGGTCCTTGGCATTTTCGAAATAGTCTTCTGCAACCGTCCTGGTGGGAAGCAGTCGCCTGCCCTGCAGCGGGCATTTCCTATTGA